GGGTTGGAGGGATGGAGGGGTTGTATTGTTAGGGGATTCCTAAACCCTAGACAATAAACACTAAAAACCATAAACAGTAAACCCTAAAAATCCTAAACCCTAAACCCTAAAACCCTAAAACCTAACCCTAAAACCCTAAAAACCTAAACCCTTAAACCCTAACCCCTTAAACCCTAAAACCCTAAACCCTTAAACCCTAAAAACCTAAACCCTTAAACCCTAACCCCTTAAACCCTAAAACCTAAACCCTAAAACCCTAAACCCTTAAACCCTTAAACCTAAACTCTAAAACCCTAAACCCTTAAATCCTACACCCTCAAACCCTAAAACCCTAAGTCCTATACCCTAAAACCCTAAACACCGCGTGGTTTAGGGAAAGTCCTGAAGTGAGGAAGTCGAGTCTATGGTACCCAATATAGAATAAGATCATATCCTCATTTTGGGATAAAGTTTTTTTTTAAGGAATATTATCTTACTAGGTTCAGCGACCAAAAAAAACACTACTCAAGTGAGGAAGTCGAGTCTCTGACCATCGGGGATGAGGCTGGCACGGACAACCCGGGCCAACAGGACCGGGACTAAGGGTTTTAGGGTTTGGGATTCGGGAATTAGGGGTTGGGGTTTGGGGTTTGGGATTGGGGTTTAGGGTTTGGTGTTTAGGGTTTGGGGTTTAGGGTTTGGGGTTTGGGTTTAGGGTACAAGGTTTAGGGTTTGGGTTTAGGGTACAAGGTTTAGGGTTTGGGGTTGGTGATTCAGGGTTCAGGGTTTGGGGTTGAGGACTCTAGGGTTGAGAATCTATGGTTTAGGGTAAGATTTTTTATGGTTTGGGCTGTAGGGTTCAAGGGGTTATAAAGGTTATGTGGGATATATAAGGGTTGTATAGGGGATTCTAGGGATATTACCCCCAGAAAGAAGAGCCAAGCGGAAACGCATATGCAAAGTGAAATGGAAACTGGGATTGTATGGTGGTTTATAGGGATCAGGGTTTGGGATCAATATGGGATTTGATCTGAAGGCCCTTTAGGGAAATTATTTGAATGCCAGTTTGGGGACAGAATTTTGATCAACTACCATATGGGGCGCTGTCAACATTACCCTAAACCCTAAACAGCTTATTCAAGCAGTATATAATAGTAGGGGTACATAGTGAGCCACAGGGTTTAGGGATTAGGGTTCAGGGTTTTGGGTTTGGGGATGGGGGTCTAAGGCTGTCAAAAATATGATTCATTTCTAGCCAGTTCAGTAATTGCATATTCGGTATGTACGCATGCATGTATGCATGTCTGCGTGTATGTACGTATGTATGTATGTATGCATGTATGTACGTATGTATGTACACATCCCTACGTTTACGGACAAACCCTTACGTTCATCAGCCCTTGTCCATTAGAACTGCCAAGCTCCAAAAGCCCCAAACCCATCCAAAACACAACATCACAGCTGTTTCTGGCCCCTTGTGGCAAGATTTCAGCCTCAAAGCGATTGCTGGATGGCCACCTTAAACCCCAAATCATGGTGTCTGCCTGGACAACCTCCCAAACTTCCTAGAGTCCCAAACCCTGTAAGGAATTCTTCAGGGGACCCCATGTAAGGTGGACGATTTGAGGTCCCATATGGTCTCGTTTGTCACACGAATACTATGGCACCTAGTATTCATGGTACCTCGAAAGGACCATAATTTTGATGAAAGGCGCCACGTATGGAAGGAACCCTAAGCCCCAAATGGTCGTTTCCATAAACAAGAGGACCCCAATGTAGAACTCAAAGCACTATAATGCTTACGATAGGAACCTCCACGAGGGTGAACTCCTAAACCCCAATTTTGGGAAGCCCTAACACTGTGCTAACAATGGAATCCAAGTTTCCACATAATTTCCGGTTTGAATCTCCATTATTTTAAGTAACATCCCTAAACCCTAAAGAACCTGCAAATCCTGAACCGTGAATCCTAAACCCNNCTAAACCCGAAGCTCTAAATCCTCACCCCTAAGCTCTAAGTCCTAAAGCTCTAAACCCTAAATGGTCGTCTTTCCTTGGGGTCCGAGGCGGAGTGCGATGACTGGGAAGAGATGCTCGAGTCCTTGGGCGTGGCGAGGCGGGGCTTGAAATGTCAACCTTCGGCTGTTACTGAGGGGGGGGGGGGGG